CCATAGGCAAACCTTGTTTTTGTCCGCTATACTGCTCCTTCTCATAGTGCTAGTCTTCATTAAAATGCACTCTCCATCACCATTGGTAACTAGTAGTGTTTTGTCTACCTCTCCTCCTGAGCACTTAAAGAGTACAGCCAAAGCTGTTTTCAGCCGACAGCGTGCTAAAGTCCAGTGTTGGCTGATGTCACTCAACTGGTCCAGGCTGGGGAAAGATCCTGACTTTAAAGTCAGGATCCACCCATATGTCTGAAACGGCATCGGGATCAGCCTCTCTTTGAGTCACTAGGAGCCTGAGCCAGCTGCTCCTGCCCTCTTCACAGCCCAGTGCTCCAATGAGCACTGGGGAGGGGACAGGAAAGACAATGGTGACTGACCGTCACCACTCTCTGCTCAGAGCGGCAAGGAGAACTGAGCGATCAACGGTGTCTGATTGCTCAGTTCAGTTCTCACCCTTAGAGCAAGTGGGGGATAGATGCAGCATCAGATCTATGCTGCATCCACCTAGGTAAATGTCCATGATATCATAAGAACTATTAGGCAGTTAGCTAGTCATTTTATTTTTTAATTTAAATATATTACTCAATAACCACAAATGGATACAACTCCGCTTTGTGTGCAAAAAAGGTCTTTGCAAACCCACATATTATCTAGTAAATGTAGCAGTGACATCATCATTGTTCTGCTCATAGCCTGTGCAGAGGAACCAAAGAATTCCACCTACTACAGGCTGTCTGCAGTAAACTCCAGGAGGGAGCAGATACAAGACCAGTTGCCATGTAGAGGAAAAAAGAGCAGCAATGACTCATCTTAATTACAAGACTCTCCTTTTAGGGCAATGTTTCACAATGGATTACAGGAGAGCTTTATACTCTAATGCATTATTATATAAAGCAGTGCATATTTATTATTCATATTGCTGATGCATATGAAATCACCACTCTTCTGTGTAAGCTATAAAGAAGCAGACATGTGCAGAATGTGCACGTCAGTGTATAGATATTTACTGCTTTGACCTGTTGCTTTCAATTCAATACTGTAGATGCTTTTCTTCAAGGATATGAACTGTCATGTGCCCATTGCACTACTAAAACTCTTATTTTAGCATTATAATACTCATGTACAGGCAGGCACTTTGCGTTCTTTCCTAATATTAGGAACGGTTTCCTGTGAATAGAAACCAAACAAAATGCAAATTGTCAGATTTCATTTGGAGCATTTGTATTTTTCGATAGACATGTGATATTACTATTTAGCAGCTGTAAACTTTGCAAAAAAAAAGTGCTGGCAAGTGTGTTGGTATTGTTTAATATTTTCAGAACATAATCCGAGTCCAAATGTTGTGCATATCTGTAGAGTGATTTATGTTCAGTTTTCTGCAACCATATTCTACATACATAGCCACAATCTCAAAGAGGAATTTAAAATGTTTTGGGGTCAATTTTATTGTACATTTTTTAAGTTTATGTTAAATGTTTTATGTAACTTTTTTTCTATTTGCATCATTTAATGAACGTCCCACCCATCAGTTTTCTAAAGTGAAAGCACAGGAGCTCTGGGCTTTCAAAATTTTTCTCTAATTGAAAGACCTTTATGACCCCATCTGAATAAAGCAGACAGGGAGTGGGAGAGAGGACAAAGAGAGGCAGCTGGTATGTCATAAGGTCAGCTAGAAGATAAAGTAAAAGGTTTGTATAGTTTTTTTTTTTTTTAATACCGGGTGGGGGCAAGGATTCTTGCTGCAGTTTTCACTTTTAAATAATACATTTGTTTTTTTAGACATGTATACATTCAGTGGAGGGCTAGTACTACTAGGTTGGACTTGTAGCCTTGAGTGGAAATGCTTCAACGTTTAGAAATGGAGTGAGATTCACAATCAGCGACACATGCTGGGCACAGTACAGCTACAGTTGGACAAAATTACAGAAACCGCACGTAAAAGAACAAAGTCATTATTGAATATGGTGTTGAACCGCCTTTGGCATCCAAGACTGCCTGAATTCTTGGATGGTGGATAATGGAATCTGATACCACTCTTCATGCAAAAACTATTCCAGTTCTTGCAGAGATACCAAAGGTGGAAAACAAGGCCAAACCCTGTTCTTCAAAATTGACCATAGTGGCTCTATAATACGGAGGTCCAGCAACTGTGGCACCTAGGGAAGGTGTGAGACTTCGTCTGCATGCTCATCAAACCACGATTTGACAACATCGGCTATGTGAATCCGAGCATTGTCTTGATAAATGGCACGCTGTCTTTGGGAAAAAATGTGTGCACCATGGGGTGCACAGGGTTGGCCAAAATTTGTACAAATTAACTGGCAGTGACTCTAACTTTCAAGGTGATGATGGGGCCTGCAGAATACCAAGATTTGGTTGCCCAAACCATGATTGTACCGCCACCATGCTTTACTGTTGGCACAAGACAGTCCTGGTCGTAAGCTTGGGATGGTTTTCGCCACATGTACACACATCCGGTGGTTGGGAGCAGTGTGAAGCTCAAGTACTATATTGCAGTCTTCTATTGATTGATGGCGTGCGATTTATGGGTGTTGCACCACTTTCTCCTCTTCTGAGCAATAGTATTGGTCACTAGTGGTTTGGCAATGCAGCTCGCCCCTGAATGTTTTGCTTATGGAGTTCCCTCCACACAGCTTTTATGAATAAATTTTTTGTTAGACTGAGATTGCGATCTGTCAGCTGTTTCCTTATGCCTATCATACTATGTTTTCTTAGAAACTGTACATGCTGTCATAACCTTCGATACTGTACTTTGCAACACCACAAATAAATTGGCAACTTCAGTCACAGAGGCACCAGCTAAGCGGCCACCATTAATTTGCTCTCCTCTTTGAAGCTCAGACATGACTCCGTATTACTAGCAACACATGCAGTGATTGACAAAAGTGAGACTTCCTACCAGTTAGCTTGGTGTCTCATCACACAGTGGATGCAAAAGAATGTTACATCACTTCCGCTTTCAACGCAAAACGTTGTAAATTTCACACCTGCAAATCATGTAGCGTTTCCATATTTCTGTCCAACCCCTGTATGTGCAACCCGTTCATACCTGCTATCGGTGTCTGGCAGAAAGAGGTCTTTTAGCGTAAACTTACTTTGCAGCTAATGCTGGGAGATGTGAAAAAGTGTGTGATAATAAGCCATGTCCTTTCAGAACACCCACCTTTTCATACCCATCAGTCAGTAAGGCATTATGGTACTTTGCATGGCACATGTCTCTTCTGTAAAACTGCAAGTACTCCCTGATATACACCAAGCCAAAAAGAGTAGCAAGTAACAACTCTGGATCAACTGTGGGTATAGGATTATATATATATTTTTTAATGGTCAAACTGGATGGACTTATTTGTCTTTTTTTCAGCCAGACTAATTATGTAACTAAAGAGGGACAGAGAGAAAAATTCATGCCATAGACTGTTCGTTTATTCATCCAAAAAAACTAAACATTCTTCGTTCTGTAAACTGATGTTGCTACCAATAATTGCAAAAATCAGACGTTTTTCACGAATTTTCCAGCATGACCGATAAACGAATTGAGGAGAAACCGCAAAAATCGGCCGATGCCATTGCCCCACTAACAGTGCAAAAATCAGCCGATTATTCTTTGATGAAAAATCGGCCGATAAACGAACCGTCTATGGCCTGCATAAGTCCCAATGGAGAGATGGTCTTTCTTTTACTGGGTGTACACTTCTCAAAATTACTGAAGAATCCAGCTGAATTTCAATCTGTGTATATACCTCTCTCTGTAAAACAGAAGTTAATAGATCGTTAGAGTGGCTTCGGCTGAACGGTCCTGCTGGGAAGCCAGCATTCAATCAGCCACTGCAGCACGCTGATCAGCATATTCTGTCAGAAGGGGAATCCTTGCTGTCAGAGCACAATAGTGCAGTAGGAGAGATCCTTGCATCCACACAATCTGAGTTTTTCATTCAACATGCTGGTTTAATTGGGGGGGGGGACCGACCAAAACCTCAAAGTGTATACCAAACTTTAGAGGTGTGTGTTTAGCACTTCTGCCTGGCAGTACTAGGATCGTTTGGTTTGAATCCCAACCATAGCACTACCTGCCTAGAGTTTGCATGTTCTCCCTGTGCCTGCGTGGGCTTCCTCCCACACGCCAAAGACATGCTGGTAGGTTAATTGGATCCTGTCTAAATTGCCCCTCGTATGTGTATGTATGTATGAATGTAAGTTAGATTGTACGCCCCTTGAGGGTTAGGGACTGATGTGAATGTACAATATATATGTGTAAAGCGCTGCTTACAATTGACAGCGCTATATAAGTACCTGAAATAAATAAATAGTATTGTGTGCAGGGAGTAAAGAAGACAGCAAGGTCCATGTAGTTGTGGATGATGAGACTCCCTCTCTAACCTCCTCTGTGGGGGATGGGATGAGCTCAGACTGTTTACTTCCCTGTGACATGAAGCCCTGAGCTCCTCTTCCTGGAAAGCCAGTCCTGTCTGGGAATAGCTGTGCTGAGCTCACACTGTCCTCCCCCCACATTGCCCTGACTGGAGACAAAGCAGGAAAGCACCGTTTGCTATCCTGTGGTTTCAGGCGGACATGGGGATTCCCCTTCTCTCCGTTGCACAGAGTTGCAGCACCCTCTGTCAGCTGACCTATTTCCTTCCCAAGCTTCTCCGAGCTGCATGCTATGCATCAGTGAGCCGTAGGCAGAGCCTCTCCCTAAGCTACACTAATCACTCCTCTAAGCGCCGGGTGTGTCTCACACAGGGGTATACCTGGCCGTGACGCATGCGCATTGAGCTTGTTTTGCACAAGGCGACTTGAAGTTTCTCTCTCTCCTGGAACTGGGTGTGCGCAAACTGGCCGCGCCCACTTCGTGCATGCCATGGCTGGCAAGGGTTGCTATTGGCTGTGACGCTTCTGTTGCTTTTCTAAGCCGCGCCCTCTGAGCAACTTTCACTATAAAAGCGAAGTTAGTGTCAGGCACTACTGCAGTTTTAGACATAGCAGACTGTAGTTTTTTTTTTGTTGGTTCAGGATGATCTTTGACAGGGTGAAGAAGTTGCTGGTGGTGCTGGAGTCCCCCGAGGATGACGTTGCTCCAGTGTTCAGCAGCGGGGGGGACACGGTGTCCGGGAAGGTGCTTCTGGAGCTGCTGGCCGACGACACTAAGGTGGAGTCAGTGAAGCTGCACGCAGGGGGCTATGCTAAGGTGCACTGGACCGAGTCCCGGAGTGCAGGCTCCAGCACGGCATACACCCAGAACTACAGTGATGAGGTGGAGTACGTCAACCTGAGGGAGACGCTACTAAGCACAGGTGAGAGCACACATCACCTCTACCAGAGTCTCCCGACAGAGGAGAGGGTTACAACTGCTGCCTCTAGTGTGACTTGTTAGAGACATTTCCCTTCACTTCCGGTCCTGTAGACTCAACCGGAAGTGAAGGGAGAGTTTTCTAACTGTAGGTCTCATTTGTACAGCATCCAGATCAGTGTATTTGTGCGGCAGGTGTGGCCAGGTGTTTGTGTACATATCAATGACATCCTGACTCTGCTCCATATGTAATTGTACCTTGAGCATTTACATTGATTGCATGTGGCCAGCTTGTTTTTAATTTGTATGAGCTACCTGTATCTGCTCCAGAAATTTGCTGATCTGGGTGCTGTAAGGTCAAGAACGACTCTGTAAATAAGCCCTTGGTTATCATGGGACCTAGTGTCCCTATTGGAGGAAGATCTTAGTTGTCACAGGACCTTTTGCCCCCATTGGAAGAAGTTGTTGGTTGTCATGGGGCCAAGTGTCCCCCATTGGGAGCAGCCGTTGGTTGCCACGGGGCCTAGGGTCCCCATTGGGAGCAGCCGTTGGTTGCCACGGGGCCTAGGGTCCCCATTGGGAGCAGCCGTTGGTTGCCACGGGGCCTAGCGTCCCCATTGGGAGACTTCCCCCTCCATTCTTGTTCTGGTCAAAACTTTGAATTTCCTGTCACTTTAATTCCTGGCGATCAGGACATTTGAAGCTCATTCACATTGCCTGGGGCAGTAAATGGGCGGTTGAGCTGCAGTTTTGTAACCACCCCTTAACCTAACATAGCTTTGTGGCTGCAGCAAAAATTATAATCCTGTCACAATCGTCGGCAGTACCTTCACCAAATATTACCTGTTCAAGTAAATGGGGATGCGTTGTAGTCTTGTGCATTGGGTTTTTTCAGGGTAAAAGAGGTGACCTACCACCTCCCAGCTGCCTGTTAACTGGCCTCTGAAAAGCGGTCTACCACAGATCGTTTTTTAGAGGGGCAATAAGGGCTGCCGCCAATGTGCTTGAGCCCTTAGAGTAAATCCTTCTATTGGAGAAACAGGCAGCAATAAAAACCTGAAAGGGGTTCTAACCACTCACCTCACCATCCAAATCTAAAAAAGTGTCTGTGGTTCTCCTTTTTGATTTGGAATAGTGTAAACATGTTCCTCAATAATATGCACTGTAAGGGTAATGCTGCACAGATGTTTAACAGAAAGTTTCCTGTCTCTCCAACAACTCTTGATTTGATAAGATTAAAGTATGACGAGGATAAGGATTTCAGGGCTGCTGGATGAGCGCAGGTCCGATGTAAACAAGGCTCCCTGTGACTGGCAAACTGCTGCCACTTGCGGAAAAGCAGCTCGTGGACTTGGATGGCATTCCCGGACTGTCCCCAGTTCAACTACACAGTGCCAACCTGTGTCCTAGACTGCCCCTGGGCTCAGAACCTTTTTAATGATCTGTTCCGTGTACTTCTGATTGTGTGCGATCAAACACGTCTGCAGTGTTGTGCTATGTAACACTTGTGTGTGTGCAGGGACAGAAGATTCTTGGTATGTGGACACATATTAGTGTGTTTATGCATTCTTGTATACTTTCTACAATATGAGAGTGTTTGTATCCCTCCAGCAAGTAGAACATATCAAAGTCACCATATGGACAGTGGCAGATTAAGCCCCTGTTCACGCCTGGGCATTTTGTGGCTTGAAACGCTCAGCAAGCCAGATCCTTTGCATCTAAACTGTCCCTGTTCACATATGAGCATCAGGTGGCTGTAATGCAATGTCTGAAATTGCAAAAGGTGCATGAGCTACCTTTTAACCTACCGGGGACTTATACCCCCTTCCTTACCAGGCCAATTTTCAGCTTTCAGTGCTGTCGCATTTCAAATGACAATTGCGCGGTCATGCAACACTGTACCCATATCAAATTTTTATAATTTTTTTCTCACAAATAGAGCTTTCTTTTGGTGGTATTTACATGCCACTAGGTATTTTTTTACTTTTTTGCGCTGTAGACAAAAAAAGAGCAAAAAATTTGAAGAAAAAGTTCAGGTAATTTTTCTCCTACACTGATGTGCGTTGATGAAGTGGCACGGATGGGCAGCACTAATGAGGTGGCACTGACTGGCGCAACTGCTGGGCACTGACTGGCGCAACTGCTGGGTGGCACAGATGGGTGGCACTGCTGGGCACAGGTGGGTGGCACTGCTGGGCACCAATCATCAGGGCGCTGATTATCCGTGCCCTGGTGATCGGTGCCTATCCCTGCTCGTCAGAACTCGTGAGAACTGCCAGTTCTCAGCAGTACTTTCCTCACGCTCTGTCATTGGACACGGCTGATCACGTGGTAAAAGGCTGCTGTGATTGGTCTTTTACCACATCACGTGATCAGCTGGGTCCTTAGGACACAGCTATCACGGAGATCGTTGGGTGCGCACCCCGGGGGTGCGCAGGAGAGCTTGTTCTGGGAGGACGTCATATGATGCTCTCCCAGAACTGGCCGGCCACAGGAGCATGAAAAAAAAAGCACAAAACGTGTTGTGCGCTTTTTTTTTTTTTTTTTTTTTTTTTTTTTTTTTTTTTTTTTTTTTTTTTTTTTTGAATGCTCCCATAACAAGTCTCTGGGGCCAAATATTCTCTGCCCCCCCCCCCCCCCCCCCAAAAAAAAAAAGTGGCACTTGAACACCTAAAAACATGATGGAAAAACTCAATTGACTAATACATGCTTAGCTCAAGTGTGAGTTGGGGCTAGTATGTATGAAAATGAGTTGGGGACCTTAGATTTTAAGCTCCTTGAGGACAGGAACTAATGTGAATGTACAGTATATATGTAAAGTGTTGATTAAATTAACGGGCCTATAGAAGGTCCTGTAATAGAGTAGGTGCTTGCTTGGGGGGCTAAGATTTTTAAATTGAGGGCTGGCACACACTGGGAATCGCACAGGAGTGTGCGGCGCATTTCTGTGCGATTCTTATGCTATTCTGTGCAGTGCAATTTCAGCTCTCTCATTTTGAATGGGCTAAAATTGCACTTTACCAAAGGTAGTGCATGCATTTGTTTTCGAAACTCCCTGCAACCGGATCGCATGGTACTTCTGTACCATGCAATCTGGTGCAGTCAAACACTGTGTTTGCAACCTGCGTTTGGGGTGTCGTTAACTTAATATTGACACCTGATGTAGATCGCAACTACAGTGTTTTTTGGAGAAGTTGCAGGAAACCTGCACAAAACATGGGTTTAATGTTCTGGTGTGAACTGGCCCTGAAAACTATTGTTTCTAATGTGGTTATTGACCTCTATGCACTGTAGTTTTGTGAGGGAAATTTTTATTGGCCCATTCACACCTACATGTGTCCATTACTACGGGCGCTGCATCACACATGGAACCATGAATGAAGCCAGCCTCAGACGTGCTTCACAAACGCACGTTAAAGCAGAAAATAAATGCCTACAGTGGGGGAAAAGAATTATTTGATCCCCCTACAGATTTTGTAAGTTGGCCCACTTCCAAAGAAATGAAGGGTCTATAATTTTTATCATAGGTTTTAAATGATAGGGACAGAATATCAACCAAAAAACCCATAAAAATGTATGGTACAAAGGGTATAAAATTTAGTTGCAGTTCAATGAGTAAAATAAGTATTTGATTCCCAAGCAACTTTTCCTCTTCTCCCCCCCCACCCCCTCACCCCCCACTGACACCAACGATGGGGCACTATACCTCCCCCCCACTGACACCAACGATGGGGCATTATGCCTCCCCCCCCCCCCCCCCCCCCCCCCCCCCCCCCCCCCCCCCCCACTGACACCAATGATGGGGCACTATTCCACCCCCCCCCCCCCCACACACCAATGATGGGGCACTATTCCACCCCCCCCCCACTGGCACCAATGATGGGGCACTATTCCACCCCCCCCCCCCCACTGACACCAATGATGGGGCACTATTCCACCCCCCCCCCCCCCCACTGACACCAATGATGGGGCACTATTCCACCCCCCCCCCCACTGACACCAATGATGGGGCACTATTCCACCCCCCCCCACTGACACCAATGATGGGGCACTATTCCACCCCCCCCCCCACTGACACCAATGATGGGGCACTATTCCACCCCCCCCCCCCCACTGACACCAATGATGGGGCACTATTCCACCCCCCCCCCCACTGACACCAATGATGGGGCACTATTCCACCCCCCCCCACTGACACACCAATGATGGGGCGCTATTCCACCCCCCACTGACACCAATGATGGGGCGCGATTCCTCCCATTAATACCAATGATGGGGCACTATTCCACCCCCCCCCACTGACACCAATGATGGGGCGCTATTCCACCCCCCACTGACACCAATGATGGGGCGCGATTCCTCCCATTAATACCAATGATGGGACACTATTCCTCCCACTAACGCCAATGATGGGGCACGATTCTTCCCACTGGTGTGCATTGGAAGAGGGGTAGTCTTATACGGCGAGTATAACCTAAACACTACATTTTAACAGGAAAAGTAGGGGGTCGTCTTATACGCCGGAAAATACGGTACTTGGGAGAGAAACCCTTGTTGGCAAGCACAGAAGATGTTTCTTGTAGTTGGTTACTAGGTTTGCATACATCTCAGGAGGGTTTTTGGTCCATTCTTCTTTACAGATCTTTTTTAAATCCTTAAGGTTTCTTGGCTGTTGCTTGGCAACTCGAAGTTTCAGCTCCCTCCATAAGTTTTCAATAGGATTAAGGTGTGTGGAGACTGGACAGGACCACTTCATGACCTTAATGTGCTTCATGAGCCTCTCCTTTGTTCCATGGCCGGTATGTTTTGGGTCATTGTCATGCTGGAAGACCCATCCACAACCCATCTTCAGTGTTCTGGTTAAGGGAAGAAAGTTCTCATACAAGATTTTACGATATGTGGCAAAGTCTGCCTGTACCATTAGCAGAGAAATGGCCCAAACGTATAATGTTTCCACCTCTGTGCTTGACTGTAGGGATGGTGTTCTTAGGGTCATAGCATTTTTCTTCCTCCAAACATGGCAAGTTGAGTTAATGCCAAAGAGCTCATTTTTGGTATAATCTGACCACAGCAATTTCTTCCAATCCTTCTCTTAATCATTTTAGATGTTCAATGGCAAACTTCAGACAGGCCTGTACATGTGCTTTCTTGAGAGGGACCTTGTGGATTTCAATCCATGGCGGCGTTTTGTTTTATTAATGGTTTGTCTGACTGTGGTCCCAACTGCCTTGAGATCATTCACAAGCTACTTCCGTGTAGTTCTGGGCTGATCCTTTAATTTTCTCATCATCCTAACCCCATGAGATGAAATCTTGCATGGAGCTCCACCCTGAGGGCGATTGATGGTTATTTTGTATTTCTTCCAGTTGCGCATAATCACTCCAACAGTTGTCTCCTTCCTAATGTCTTTTGACAGCTTTTCTTGCCCATGGTGGTGCCCAAGAAAGATTCTGTGGACAGGTGTCTTTTTATATACATTGACAGGACTAATCTATGCACTATAGCCAGTCTGTGAGAGCCAGAATTAGTGTGTGTGTGGTTGATATTCTGTCTATCATTTAAAATATACTTATGATAAAAATGATTTACCCTTCATTTCTTTGTAAGTGAGCAAACTTACAAAATCTGCAGGGGATCAAATAATAAATTTTCCTGTGTGCTCCCAGTAAACTAGTGGGGGTGATGAATTACATCTCATGCACCCTTAACGCCCATCTGTTAGCCTATGCACACATAGGCTTTTAGAGGAGTTTAGGGGCAGAGATCTGAATGCACCAAAATCGCATTCAAAAGAGGAGCTTTGGGGCAGAAAATGCTTGATTCATCTAAATGTGTCTAAACATGTCTAAACACAAGACACGTTTAGTGCTAGTGTTTCTTTATTTTATTGGCTACAATAGAACATATATTCTGGCCACCAAAATGAACAGGAGAAGCATGTTCAAAAAGTCCCAGCGTGCATGAATCCTTAAAAAGAACCTGGAGCCCACAGTACAGTGTTCTTGCTGCTACCTTTTTTGTAAGGCATTAGAACAAACTTCGAAAGTGGTGTTCGGTGGCGTGATCTAATGTAGCACTGCATTCTGGCTGAACTAAATGTTACTGTTCTAAACTAAATGTTGCAGTACTTCTAAAGTCTGTGGTTTTCCTTTTACTCTGTGCCTTTTAAATGTCTCACATGTGACTAACCACAAATTTAAAGTACCTTCTACATACTTCTCTTTTTATTGTATTTTTTTTTTTGGGGGGGACGGAAAATAAAGTAGCAGAGAAGCTGAATTTTCAGCAGGAAATATTGCTAGATCCTTGTCTTGCATTACCGAATTACATGTATTTTTTCATTCTTCTTCTCCTACAGACAATGGCACGCTTAATGTTCTGCCAGCAGGAAGACACGAGTTTCCTTTCACCTTTCAGCTGCCTGAGTGAGTATAAACGTCACCCTTTACAAGCACAGTAATAACATTTAGCTTTGGTCATTTTCTGATCTGTGCTCTAAGTTTTTCAGTTTGTACCAGTATTTCATTGCAGGCTTAGCTAGCTTTTGGCACAAGCCATGACAAACAAGCAATCTGCAATGATGGTGTTGATCCTGTGTTTTTTGGATTAGCGAATTCTGGTATAGTGTATAAAAGGCTGCTAGTACTTGTTCTGCTGTAGCTAGATGCCTTAAAGTGCAAGCTTGGGTAAAATAAAAAATGTCATGAGGCAGTCTGTCAGATCTCCTGGTAGGATCAGCATGTAATAAAGTTGTGGAAGGTGTTTTTTTTTTTTTTTTTTTTTGTTGTTTGTTTTTGGGGTTTTTTCCCCTCCTAAAGTTGCCTTTTAGGACCACATTCAAAGGCATGAAATTATATGCATTTCTAAATGCATGTAATTTTAAATGGTATAATTCACAAGGCATTTACTTATGTTGAGATGCATTTCTTTTGGCCATATGTAGAAAATAGAAATCTAATGGGTTGATCAACCCCACAATGTGACACAGGTTAAAATGGCAATTAAAGAATAATTTCTCAAGTTTGTAGCTTTTTAAATTGCAACTAGTGTCTGTATAAATAGTCAATGTGTTTGTTAGCTGTCATGTGGATGCACTGAGCAGGCTAGATACTGAGCCATGGGGAGCAGAAAAGAACTGTCAAAACACCTGGGTAACAATGTAATGGAACTTTTTAAAGATGGGAAGGGGAGCCGTGGGAAGGATCTAAAAAGCTATCTAAAGCCGTCAGTACTGTTCAATCATTTTATTAAGAAGTAGAACATTTGGGGATCTCTTGATACCAAACCAGCTGTTCTGGAAAGAGGATGTGGTTGTTTCAAGGATCACAATATGACGATACTTGAACAAAAATGAGTTGCATGGTCGCGTTACCAGAAAGAAGCCTCTAACTTCAGCTTGCTCCCCCCCCCCCTTTGTCAAGCAGTATTTGCAGTGGTTTTCAAATGCAATTTTTTGGGGGGAAATGCACTTTTTTGAATTTCACCGCAAAAAAACCTAATGCATAACACAATTTTTTTTTTCTATGCATGTCTAGTGCTAGAATTACTGCCCATGACCTGATGATCGCAGTGATGCCTTACATGACATGTGCGCTCGCCTCAAACACACTGGGGGGGGGGGGGGGGTCGGTGGATGTTAGGTTGGTGTGTGTGGTGTGTTTTTTTTTTTTTTTTTTTTTTTTTTTATTGCTTTCACAAAGAATTTAAACAACCCCTGTGAAAGCAATAGACATGTGGCAGGGATTTTTATGAAGGGATCAGGATCTCAGACCCCTTTGGGATTTGTACAAGCAGTAAAAGGCTAGTAGTCACTCTGATTGCTTGTACAAGAGGGCTGACTGCCGTCTCTATATATTTAAAAAAAAAAAAAAAAAACTGTACCGGGGTGATGCCTGTTACATGCTGGTACAACCACAAAGTCCAGCAATGTGCAGGTATTTCCCTGCTATGGAAGTGGTTAAAAGCTCTGCTTCTCTTGGAGAGTGGTAATTTTTGTAGATTTTTATAGGACTTGAGTAGGTATACTGTTAAGGACTTTTGCCCAGGGTAAGATCTGTATGTAGTTGCTAAAGCAGATCTAGGATGATATAACCACTAACATTTGGTTTGGCTTAAATGATAACCTAAGCCTGACATTTCTTACAGGAATTTGGTGACCTCTTTTGAAGGCAAGCATGGTTGTGTTCGCTACTGGGTCAAAGCAAAGCTGCACCGTCCATGGTCCACAGTTAAAAAAGCGAAGAAAGAGTTTACTGTGCTTGAACCCATTGATATCAACACACCTGATTTGCTGGTAAGACATGCTTTGTAAAGTGCATTGGATGCCAGCTTTCCTGGAACTCTATGCTAAAAAGTGCCTGCAAAAATTGATTGTGTCAATTAAATAAAAACTTGATCTATCATTTCTAGATTTGATCCTTGCAAAATTTGGCATTTACTTTTGTAGGCTTATGCTGGTCCTGCACAGGCAAATTGAAGAACCAGGTTTATGTTGCACAAAACAGATTCATGGATCAAGCCAACCTACAGAGACCGTTTCTGTTGAAACCCTGATTTCAACAAAACTGGTCATGTTTACTTGTACCTACAGGTAAGCTTATAATGAAGCTTGCCTGTAGGTACAAAGAATTTCCTAAACGTGCACTGGTTAGGAGATATTTCCTGTTTCTGTAGCCGATGACCTCATCAGGGCATGCGCTGTAAAGGAATGGCTTACTCATGGTGTCCCTTCAGAACTCTATGCCATGAGAGTGACATTATCGCGGCTGGCCTTTTAATGGCTGAGCCAGCAAACCCAGAAAGGAAGACCTGATGAAGATGGAAGCCCTGTTGGTGGTGACAGTGTGCCGCTGGAGGGCTTCATTTCACATTAAATATTTCATAATGTGCTAGTAGGGGATGTGTACTAGCACATTAGAATATTACTTTACAGGAGGATGTCTTTTTTTTTTTTTTTTTTTTTTTTTTTTTTTTTCTAACATTTACTACCACTCTAAGTTGACTTGCTCTTTTTGATAGTTTCTAAGATGGGAAAGTGGTTTAACGCAGTTGAATTCCCACAAAATGTGTTACTGTAGTGTCCGTGTTCTCTACCACTGTCGACTCCTGAAAGTCTTATTTAATTCTGGGTCAGGAAATCATTGTGTTGCACAAATGTATTGTACCTTTTTAGAAATGGCACAACTTCCAGTCATTGGGCAATAGCATCTTTCAAAGGGTAAAGTATATCTAAAGGTAGAACTTAAATTTTTAATGGAGCGTGGCAGATTAGAAACCTTATTAGATTTTTATAGTCTGTGTTCCTGTTTGGAAAGATTCACTTTATCCAGATGACCATGTGAACTTTGTTATATTTGGAGACAGAATAGTGAACTATGTATTAATGAATTGGTTTAGATTGCTATGAGGAAAATCTCAAACTTTTTTTTTTTTTTTTTTTTCTTTCCTTTCCTAGGCTCCTCAAGCTGGTACCAAAGAAAAGATTGCACATGCCTGGTACTGTAACCTGGGGCAGGTGTCTGTCACTGCGAAGATTGACAGAAAGGGATATACCCCTGGTGAGTGAGTTTATCAACCTGCCGTTATTTGCATTTAAAGGAATCCTGGACTGAGAAAAAATGCTTAGAGAGTGGCCAATGCTATCTTTTTTTTAAATATGCTATCCAACACCTGGCTGTCATGCTTTAGTACTTTTCAGGTACTGCCCTAAAGGATCAGCATGACAGCTAGTGTTCCCCTGAGGAGTTCAACAGGAGCCTATGTATTCTGTCAACTCGCATTTTGATTAAATATCACACTCTTGTATGTTTCTTTAAAATGTACTTGTTTGTTTATAGGCATACATTGGATCTGAAAAAAATGTTAGCACTGAAAGCTGATTTTCTCCAACCTAACCCATAGGTGAAGTCATACCCATCTTTGCAGAGATTGACAATTGCACCAGTCGCAATGTGGTGCCTAAAGCAGCCATCATCCAGTCGCAGACTTTTATTGCTCGTGGTACCTTGAAACAGAAGAAATCTGTGGTAGCTACGCTGGCTGGAGACTCTATATCTGCAGGGAAAAGAGAGACCTGGCATGGACGGGCTCTAAAAATACCGCCACTTGGCCCTTCCATCCTTCAGTGTCGCATTATTCGTGTTGAATATGCTTTGAAGGTAATCTTCATGAGACAAAATGATCTTGCCACTTTGGTATGGGGAATAGGATAGTAATTTTTTTGTATAAAGTATAACTTTGTTGATCTGCTTACATTTGTAGATGTGTGTAGAGATCCCTGGTTGCTCAAAGCTGCTCTTGGAGCTCCCACTGGTGATTGGCACCATTCCACTTCATCCATTTGGAAGCAGAACATCGAGTGTGGGCAGTCAGTACAGTGTCCATCTTGACTGGCTACATGGAACTGTTCCAGAACAACCTGAGCGTAAGTATCTGAGCAATCTTGGTCCTTTTTGGTGTCTTGTAAGAGCATGTGTTAGTGTTTTGGTTGCTTCAGGCAGATTCTGTGTTCCTCTAAAGTCTATAGTATGCAAAATCCTCTTGGAGCAGGTCAAATACAGGTCAGAAGGATGCATTCAGAATTGATTTGCTGGCAGATAAGTGTCTCAAACTGATGCTATCGCTACAAACCCAGTCTGTCAATACAGGCCCTTACTCTAAGGCCAATACCTTATTCTGGTGTGTGTGTGTGTGTGTGTGTGTGTGTGTGTGTGTGTTCATTCATTAGGGCAACTGCCGTAGCATTCTAATCTCTGGTATCTTTCCTTACTCAGCGCCTCCTGAATACTCCTCAGTAGTTTCTGAAGAAGAGGTTCAAAACGGTCTTTCCCCTCCGCGTCGTGCCAGTATGGGTTGTATCCTAGACGGGCCATTTTATGCCTACATTCAGGAGTTCAGGAACAGGCCCCCTCCACTGTATTCAGAGGTAAACACTACAGTAAAAAAAAAAAAAACTTGTGGTGGGTGTTTGGTTTTTTTGGGGGGTTTTTTTCTCCCAACAAAAAAAAAAATAGGCATGAAGATAGCATAAACCCCCAAGTCACCTGCTGAAAAGTAATATAAAACTGCTAGTATGTATTTCAATGGTGTATTTGGCCTTTATGCTTGAAATTCAGTTTCAATTCTATTAAACACTTGCTCCATACCAATTTTAAAGATAAATTAAAGGCTTGTTTTAAACAAAAAAAAAGTCATACTTGCCTGCGCTGTGCAATGGTTTTGCACAAAGCTGCCCCAGTCCCTCTTCTTGGATGCTCCAGGCCCCTCCCTCCTTCCTAGTACCCCCATAGCAAGCAGCTTGCTTGGGAACAAGCTCGCTCCCCAAGCTGCTACTGTCTGTCCACATGCGGAGTGTGGCTCTGCCCTGCTCTCTCCTTGTTGGTTGTGATTTGACAGCGGGAGCCAATGGCTACTGTTGCTGTCTCAGCTAATGAAGAGGGAGCGACCCTAGAGAGCTGAGGATCTAATGTACATTGCTGGATCGCAATGGGGCTTAAGTATTAAGGGGGGGGGGGACACTGCTTCACAGAAGGGTGATGTGTGTGGAGAGTTCTGTGTGGGTTTTTTTTTTTGTTTTTTTTTTTATAAACCTTAGAATACTTGAAGGTAAAGGGGGGGCTTTTTGCTGATAAATCACTTTGAAAAACACCCTCTAGCATTTCTGGCTGCGGCAGTCTTGAGTTAAGGGAAGATGATTGTCGCATTTACGTTCTAGAATCCATCTGCCCTTAGCTCAGGCATACTGAAATAGGGTATACTTGGCTTAGCCAACCTCTCCTGAAGACTCCTGGGATGTATTTGGCTAGGCATGAAAACCAGGAAGTAACTGAATAAATGTAAAGTTTAAAACCAGTAAATGATACTTTCCGATCTATTTACAAATGCTAGCAGCATAAGGATTACAAGTGTTGATTTATAGAGTGAAGTTCCACTCTAAATGTTTATTCCCAAAGGCTCATTGTCACGCATATTTTTACTGTATTTTCAGGTTGATCCTAACCCACCTGCAGCAGAAATCCGTCCACGTTGCATGACATGTTGAAGGATGACTATCAAGAATCCTGACTTCTACATTTCACTGAAAGCAGATAATTCTTGCTAAAGACTGAATGTGTCCCTTGCATTTAGCAAACAGTAACGGTTTGCGCTGTACCAAAGATGGGGATGAGGGACTGGAGACCATCTCTAAGGAGAGGGACGGAGTAGATCCTCTTGCTGAGACATAATTTATGTGGAAACCAAAAATCAAGAACCATTGAGGATATGGCAAATGTCTTGGAGTGTTTCTGAACACCAGGGAACAAGAGTCTTCTCATTGTGGTGTTGTGCATATCAGGAACGTCATTGCACAGTTATAATGTTTTGAAAAGAAATTGTATCTAAAAGAGGGCTACAATATGATCTTATTGATACTAAGATGTGAATATTACTGCACAGAGGCATATCGTTTCTTACATTTTTATAGATTTATACAGCTAATGCCCAACAACTCATGTGAGGAGTACTAGTTGGATGTGCTTACTTTCTTGATTGATTCATGACCCAAGTGATATTTGATCTTGTTGTGCCAAAGTATTGCTGCATATTGACACTTCCTGTACCTTTCAATGAATACACAACTGTAGTGTTGTAAGTTTTATAGTAAGAATTTTTTTTTTTTTTTTTTTTTTTTAATAGTAGACTTCTAAGCACTGTTAGGCTTTATATACAGTGTAGAACTTGCAATTACAAGCCACTGCTTAGCCACAATCAGAGTGTATAGGTGTATGATTTCAGAAATTGCTTGGTATTTTTCTAAAGTTCTGTTTTTATTAATCATCACCTGGCCTGACACTATACGAAATGCCTGCAGTATGCTTCTGTCTACTCAGTTTTAGTGGCCTTATGAAAACTTTACAGAGTTCTTTTAAAGGGAATATAGTTTAAACTGCATTACTAATATAGGTTAATTTGTTTTTTATTCAAAATGCATACTTTCCATAATTGAAATTTCCAGCTTCTCCTCAAGGCAGCAGTCAGCCCAAGAGGTGGTTCCAAGTAAGATTGTGATTGGAAGTGGAGGCTTTGAATAGCCATGCTTTACCACACTTTTTTCCAGGGTTATCTCAAGGGGCAGGTTTTTGCGATTCCTGGAAAAAAAAGTTACTAAATAGAGTAATTCCTAATTTTGACCACATTGCAGTATTATTGGACAGGATTGCAGATCACTGATCTACCTATGATTTCTCATGTCACGGTGCTAACGTGCCTTTACACTTAAACATACTGGACCTCATGTTTCTATTTGAGTAATACATATTTTCTAAAATGTTGCTGTTTAAAAATTACTCTTGTATTATGGCTTTTGCTGTATTTGCCTTTTTTGTTGCGTTTCCCAAACCTGTCCTTAAAGCCCACTGACGGTGTATATGTTCTATGTACATTACATAGACATTGTTGGAATTGGCTTTACCACATTGTGCTCCAACTATAGTTACAAAACCACTGATGGTAATTAAGGACCGGTGTGGGAATACTGCTTATATGGGTAAAATTATCTTCACTGTCTCACAAACCTGCAATGATTAATGCATGTCAATGACTGATATCATTCCAGAGTGGAGTAAGTAGAATGGATGCTGAATAAATGTTACAGAATCCTGCTCTGCTAGTATTTTTGCCAAATATCACAGCAGACAGATTTTGTAGCCATCGTTTCAGAGTTTGTCATTTTTGTCATGTAATTTTGTAAGCTTTTGTACTGACCAATGTGTAAATAAAAATATATTATATCATTTTTTTTTTTTTCTAATAAAACACATTCATGGTCTATGTATGAGTCAACTGGTTGGTAAACCAGTAAATTCTTTGTCTATATTTAACCATTGGATATTTTGTACACTGTCCATAAACCCTCATATTTTGGCTGTTATATCATGCCTGTAAAATTTTCAATGGGCATGAATAAACTGTTTTTTTAATTAAAATTGATATATATAATTTTTTTTTTTTTTTTTTTGTACGCATAACCATGTAAACTGGATACTGCTTTACCCTAGGTTAACACCTGAAGCGTTCTGCAGAAATGCAGTACAGTCACTTTTTAACATTATTTCCTATGGGACATGTTCACAACTCCACGTTTTCACCGTGTGTGTGGTGTGTGTTTTTTTTTTTTTTTTTTTTTAAAAAGGTCAGGGATGTTTCTGAACGTGTTTTTGGTTCTATAGACTTCATTGGAAATGCTGCAGAAAAGCATGTAGTGTATTTTTGCATTTTTAAATCTGCCTAGCAACAATATAAAAAAAAAAAAAAACCCCCAACACAATGCGGAAACAGTTCACACAACCTGCATACGTATGAACCTAGACTTTGGCAAGGAGGAAGTTCTAGGCCTCAACACCACTTACAAGTGATCATACAGTATCTATTGACTACTGGCTATCAAGGAGGTACCACTAGATGAAAGTGGAATATATACGCTCAGGGTACTAGCCATCTTTGCTGTGTAAGTGTGTGGGTGTTTTATGTAACCCCAGCGCATAACTGTGTACAGCCTGTATCTGCAGCACATTCAAGCGTTGTACTGCTGCTTCTACACAGAGTGCGATCGTTTGGGTCTCCAACAATGACATGTTCCAAGCAGCAATTTTCTTTAGGAGCAGTTGAAATGCATGAAAGTTAACTATAGATAAAAAAAAAATCCAGCTAATTACCCCAAACATGCAATTTTGTGTATGTCAGGGCAAAATAAATAAGAAACATGCAGTACATCTCTGCAATGCCTGTACATCTGCCCATGTTTTGTCCCTATACCAAACCTACACGTATAGAAAAAAAATACCTGTTCTGCCAAAAAAAAAAAATGCACCTGGTTCTTAATTGCCAGTGGAGAGCTGACAACACACAGGATTTTGTGGACTGAACTTTACAGGAAATTGGTGTGAGCCTGGCCACATGTCTTTAACACTACTTACTATCTGTTTGAGAAGAGAAGAGTCAAGGTTGGTACACATGAACTGAATATTGTCATTTGGCCAGTGTGTACAGCAGCTTATCTGCTTTCTGTTGAACAGGCATGCTGATCAGTATCCGATCAGCACTTGCAGCCAATGACTGTGAGCATTCATTGGTGTGTTCTGGCCTGGGGAGGAGCGCTCCCCTGTCAGAATACAATCGCTCAGCAGGGAGATCACTATTACTAGTATCCCATAGTACAGCAAGCCTCTCAGGGTTCCCCCCCCATTCAGCCTGCTGGGTTGAATGGGGGGAGGGGGGAAACTACCTTGGTGTACCAGGCTTATTTGTTCTGTTCAAGATGAGAACTGGGAGGATTAATTTGACTCCTTGAGATAACTCAGGAAAAGTGTACAGGACACTCCAAAAAAAAAAAAAAAAAAATTTAACACATCTGCAACTGTAATAGGTTGCAGCTTCCCAAACAATAGATGTGGTGGCTGCATAAGAGTGTGTGGGTTTTTTTTTCTTTTTCTTTATAAGGGTTTTCCCCTCTGTTTTCAGTTGGTGACTTGGCCAGTAACACATCTCCTATATTAGAGTGCCCCCACTCTGGTTAAAGGAGCAACAGAGATGCCTTTCAACAGCAGTATTGTCAGTTGGGAAGGGGGGGGGGTGTTATATGTACTAGCAATTTTAAATGCATTAACAAAATTGAAGTGGAGTATCGTCTGTACTAGCAGTTTTAAATACATTAACAGATTGAAGCGCAATTACAGCAAACCAGTTGTTCCTAAAATATTTAAAGTATCTTGCGAGCCAGAAAACAGAAAAAAAGGAAAAAAAGGCTCCCTATTGTACACCATAAAATATATATCCTCTATGTAATCGGATCGCAAACATCTAACACATAACTACCAATGTGAAAAAAATGTGAATAAAATCATATAGTGTTGCGCTCCCAAACCACCAATTAATATATTTAAATCACTTAATCTCTGTCCTTAAAATCATATACAAAAAATGAAAATTGTGTATATATATATATATATATATATATATAAAAAATACCCTCAAAAAATATTGAATTAAATAATTAAAAAACCTCCATGATTAATACTAAAAAATAATAACTGTGATTAAACATGAATATTAATATACTTATAAAAATTCAAATAATCAATGTGCATAAATATATAAATAAATGCAACAGTAAAGATAGTGTCCCATATAATAAAAGTGACTTTGTGCTGAAAATTAATCTTCAATCCATATTGCATGTAAATCCGTGACTGATTGTGAATCCTCCCATTAGTGCAGATGTACGCTCACCTCCTTATAAGCCTGCAATTAGGCTATATGTGCTTTTGGTTCTCCTCCTTTGGAACCTACTTGATTAGAACTCTTTCTTTGGGATAGTAGATATCCGTAATTACCGATATGTGCTGTGGGATTGATCCCTTCTCCAGAGGATTCAACTCCTCTATATTCTCATCTCCATGCGACTCTCCACATAGGAAAAAGATCTCGACATGGTGTTTTATCTTTTATAAAGATCGGCTTTATTGACTCAAAGTATAACACTCACATGTGTTGTATTCAGAAAATCGTCTCACAATGTGAACCGAGTCCTCCGCTGACTGTCGGAGGTATGTAACCGTGGTCCGGCAAACGAACTGACTCCCTCCGAGTGACGTTACAGTCCCACCCCTACGCGTTACGCCACTGGTCACGTGGCTTCATCAGGGGGATTGATTGGTCCGTCACTCTCCCATTGCCGGCTTATAAAGCACGACTCCGCCATTTTTTTGACTATCTACAGGGGGCAGCCATTTTACTGGAGGCAAATCTATTCTTAGGACGATATCTTCTATTGCTACATGTGTTGATAATAACACATTAATCATCTCGGAGGGATACATAGTGGCATAATTCCGCAGTCAGCGTGGGTACAAACAATCTATCCAAATACATGAATCAGTTTACAATATGCTACAATATTAGCCTTCCCATATAAGGGATAAGCAAACATTATCTATTAACACATTACAAACTTAATATATAATAAACATGATATAAAATAAATTAATTAATACAATATTTTAA